TGCTCTTTTCCATGCATAATCTTATAAACCTCAATCATGTCACCCCTCAGCCTGGAGAATTTGGGGGTGGAGCCTTAGGAAGGCGGGGTTTGGGCTGGGGAGGGACCTCAGTGGGGTACAATGCCACAGAAGTCCACTTTCCAAAGCGGCCGTTTTCTCCAGGGGAGCTGATCTCTGTCGCCTGGAGATCAGTTGTAATCCCAGGAGATCTCTAGCCACCACTTGCTGAACCCTCCAATGTTCACTGTGAAAAATTTGATTCGAATCCAATTACAGTCCACAAACTTGCTTCTTCTTCTTTTTCTTTATTTTACGTCATGCAGTGCCGCTGCTGCTTCCAACCGTTGCCATGCGACTACAGATTTCCCAGGTAAACAATCCGTTTCCCTCAATGCTTCGTCAGGTCGCTTTATACTTGGAGCTGTTTCACAAACAAATTACATCAGGGCTCTTTTTGTAGAAAAAGCCCAGCAGGGACTCATTAGCATAATAGGCCACACCCAACAGCAGGAACTCATAGCATATTAGGCCACACCCCTGACAGCACAGCTCATTAGCACATTAGGCAGCTCCCCCCTGTTACCAGAAGTGTGGTCATCCAGCCACACCCACCTTTCGCTTCTTATTCTGTTTACCTTGTCTGTTGTCAAAACCCAGGGCTTTTTTTGTAGCAGAAACTCCTTTGCATGTAAGGCCACACACACCTATTGTAGGCAGTCCTAATGAGTTTCTGCTATTGGGTGTGGCCTATTATGTCAATGAGTTCCTGCTGGGCATGGCCAACTCGGGAGCCAGCCGGAACTCCGTTCCTGTGCGTTCCTGCACCAAAAATAGCACTGAGTATAGTTACAACTCTTATTCATTTGCTCTTTTTCAAGTGTGAGTGATCAAGGTTTTTACGTTCTTACCCCACGTTCTACGTCTCACACTCAGAATTCATCAGAATTAACATTGGCGGGGTGCAACCTTGGTTGAGTCACTGTGGCCCATTTGTGGCTGGAACCGCCTGGAGACTGGTTATTTATATACCTAATAGCCAAGTTGCCCCCTCCGTGCGGATATCTAAATCCGCACATCGGAGGCACCTGGGGGGGGGGGCAGGGAGATTTTCCTGCACACTTGGAGTAGTCTCCAGGTGTGCAGAAAAATCTAAAAAGTTGAAAAAAGTATACAGGGGATATTTAAATCCCCCCAAAAGTAAAAGGGCGTTCTCTGTGCATATGCAGGAAACGGTCTGGGAACTCGGGGGCGTCCGGCAGCTGGAAGCCACTCAGTCCTTGCCACGGGGGGGTGGCCGCTTCCACCTCAGCCCTGAGGTCCTCCTGCTTCCACAGGAGGGGAGCCGGGGGAATACCTCTCCCCACAAGTATCGCGGGTCCCTCTTCTTGTCCTACCTTATTTGGAAGAAAGCTTACGAGCTTGTAAGAACTCACATGGGTACTACAATGGATATAAATGGTCCATCTTACTGCCAAAGCGGATTTTTTAAAAAAAAAAAAACCTTCAGAGCAACACTAAGTTTTGTCTGGTTTCTCAACGAAATCCGTACCACTGACACTTCAATAGCTAATGGCACTGTTACTCAATGTGGGGGGGAAGCCAATTTTCAGATTTGTTTTTTTTAATTGGGACAACTTGGTCCATAAATTCTTTTTACAGTGCGCTCCTTCGTCATGGAATTGCTGTGAAAGTATGAACAGGAGGCCAAAGGGGGGGGGGGGGGGAAGAGAGGAAGAAATGATTTAAAGTGGGATTTCTCATACTCGAGAGAGCAGAAGACAACTGCTGCCACCCATACAGAGTTCCCAATCAAAATTACTGGATGCGCTCTTAGACTGCTGCCATATTAAAGAGAGTCTGGGCTCTGATTGGTACACTATGTTCGCTAGAGTGATGGCAATTTAAAAAAAGAAGACAGACGCTGAGACACAATATGAAGAAATGGCTGTAGAAACCACACAGTAAAGCTAAATCATTTTTTTTTTAAATGGAAGAAGAAAAAGAGGAGATGGAGGGGATTGGATTTATACTCTGCCTTTCACTCCCTTTCCCCTCCCCTCCCCTCCCTACAACAGACACCAGGAAGGTGGAGCTGAGAGAGCTCTCTTGAGAACTGCCCTTGAGAGAACAGCTCTGAAATAAACTGTGACTGAGCCAAGGTCACACCAGCAGCTGCATGTGGACGCTGAGACACAATATAGAGAAATGGCTGTAGAAACCACACAGTAATGCTAAATCAAATTTTTTTAAATGGAAGAAGAAGGGGGGGGGATTGGATTTATACCCTGCCCTTCACTCCCTTTCCCCTCCCCTCCCCACAACAGACACCCTGTGAGGAAGGAGGGCCTGAGAGAGCTCTCTTGAGAACTGCCCTTGAGAGAACTGCTCTGAAAGAAACTATGACTGACCCAAGGTCACACCAGCAGCTGCATGTGGAGGAGTGGGGAATCAAACCCGGTCCTCCTGGATTAGAGTCCGCACTCCTAACCACTACACCAAAGCAGATCATGGGCTTAAATATCAAATTTCTACAAACACACGTGATTTACAAATGATCAGGGTTAGAACGTGTATGGGATGGAATGCACAGGCCCTCTAACCTAACCTACGTGGGCTCCTGGTAGCCAGGGGCGAAGATGAAGCCACTGGCCCTTGTGGTATCAGCACCACAGAGTCCACTTGACTAGGGCCACGCCTACAGCAGCAATTAGGGTAGGCTGTCCAGAGAAGTAGCCTTCCTCTTGCTGCGATCATCTGACCTCTGCAGAGTTCTGAGCCAAGCTGACCCTGACTGCCGCAAGGATGTTTTCATCATCTCAGGCCCCTCATGAACGTGCACATCATACTGTTTTCAGATGAAAAGTACCAGTTAAGACCTCGCCAGGGACGACCTTGCCAGAGAAAGCTCAAGAGACCCTGGGCTTTTCCACATTTCCATATTCTTCACTTGTAAAGTCCTGTTTCTTTGGGGTTCCCCCCCCCCATGTCACGGTAGAGCCAGGGAGGCAGGCAGACAGGGGGAGTCACAATACAAGTCCAAAGGTCAGCCTGGAGAGCAGTCAGCAGAGCATTAAACAAGTCCCTAAAACACCAGACAAAGCCATAGTCAAACGTTACCAGAGGTCAGGGTACAGGGAGCAAAGCCGAGGGTGTGGTCAGGTTCAAAGCTGGAAGTCAGGAGCCAGAGCAGTCCAAACACAAGCCGAGTCCAAAAGCCACAGAGTCAAACAGGAATCAAAGTGCAAAGCTTCTGGTTCTACAAACGAGGTTACCAGCACAACTTGCTCATGGCCAGAGGCCCTACTAAATAGTGCTCTGGCCCATTAACTCATTAGCACCTTTGTGCGAGGTCCTGGCTGCTGTTAAAACTCAGGGCTCAAGGATCTCCGCCCTCTTGAACGTGCTTCTTTTCGGCTAGCCAGCTCCTGATGACTCTGATCCCTAAGCCTACTTACAGGTGTGGGAGATGAAGGTGGTGAGCTGCTTATGGCCTGCTCAATCCCAGGTGCAAATCGTCCTGTAGTTGACTCAGATTGCTGTGTATCCTCCTCAGTACTTACAGTAGGTGCAGATCCTGATGCTTCTTCAGCTCTTAAAGGCACTGAATCCTCCCATCTTAGGCTGTCAGGAGCTGGCTCTGGGGTTGAGTCAAGGGCAGGCATGACACCCTGTCATGCCCGTGTTTTGCTCCCTCTAGAGATCGATTCAAGATTAGACCCGTTTATGTCCGGCATAAAAACCCGCAGGGAGATATGCCAGGCATGAACCTGTGTAATAGCAATTCGACCACTAGAGGGAACCAAACATATGCAGGCGCTTAAAGTAAAGGTTTCCCTTGCTCGAAAGCCGGTTGAATCCGACTCTAGGGAGCGGTGCTCATCTCCATTTCCAAGCCGAAGAGCCAGCACTGTCTGAAGATGTTTCCGTGGTCATGTGGCCGGCATAACTAAACACCGAGGTGCACGGAACACTGTTACCTCCCCACCGAAGTAGTCCCTATTTATCGACTTGCAATTTCTTTCTTTTGAACTGCTAGGTTTGCAGGAGCTGGGGCCGGAGAAGGGAGCGTCCCATGGCACTCAGGTCTCAACCTGCAGAACTACAGACTTTCCAGTCTGCAGCTCAGTGTCTTAGCCTCTGAGCCACCGCTGACTACTTAAAAGTGAGGAAAATGAGGAAGATGGCAACTAGCCATTGGTGACTGAGGGGAACCTCCACATTGAGGAGGAGGAGGAGGAGGAGGAGGAGGAGGAGGAGGAGAAGAAGAAGAAGAAGAAGAAGAAGAAGAAGAGATTGGATTTATACCCTGCCCTTCACTACCCAAAGGAGTCTTAGAGCAGCTGACAATCTCCTTCCCCTCCCCACAACAGACACCCTGTGAGGTAGGTGGGGCTGAGAGAGCTCTGAGAGAGCTGTGACAGACCCAGGGTCACCCAGCTGGCTTTATGTGGAGGAGTGAGGAATCAAACCCACTAAGCATCATAATCCCAGAGTCAGAACATAACATCAGGGGAAGGCCTCGGCCTCTCTGCCTTGTTGTTGGCCCTCCAGGGAAACT